AAAGTATATGATCTGCTTAAAACTAGAATATATGAGACCGAATCCTCTACTGAATTTTTCTACTGAATGATCTTCAGACAACAGGAATAATTCATTTTGACAAATAATACTATTTATCTTCTCATGCTTTGTGACGAGTTTTAATGTTGTTTCAAACATTCTTCTTTGAAACTTAAATCAATTTATAAACTGAAACTGTCTGTATGCATACTATTTCTTATCTATAGAGGAGATAATTTAACATTGGTACACTCACCTCAAATGCCATTGGGTTGTGACACAAAAATAGGTCAATATATCCTAAATTTAGATTATCTAGAGATTTCTTAAAACCTTCTTCTACTTTATCATGGAATGTTGACCAAAGCTTAAAATTAAATAATACACACCATTACATTAATATAACTCATGAATCCATGAATCTTTCTGTCTATGGGAAATAAGGACCTATGATATGGACACTTTCACTGGTCATCAAAATCATCACGTTTACACATTGTATTAAATAGAATTTTACAATCCATGTTTAATTAGGATCATATATGCTTGTGAATATCAAAATAAAATGGTAAGAGTGTCACTTTCACATGGCAATTATATAAGCCCTCTTAGAGATATGGTAGGGAACCTAGGTGACTCAGTTAGTTAGACGTTTGATCGCTAACCTGAAGTTCCAGGGTTCTACTCCGGCATAGGTTGAGATGATACCTTCGGATTTTTCAACCCGGTTTCCCCTGTCAGTGATGCAGGTAAGAGGGGCTGACATGGAAAAAGCACCTATTCGTTCGGATAGGACAATAAACCGAGGCCTCGTGTTCTACAGGCTGTGTACGTTAAAGATCCGTCTTCATTAGCCCACATGGTGAAGGAAAGTAGGACGTAAAACTCATTTCATTTCATTTCAATTCCAGAGATATTGTTAATAACTAAGCACTTGAATGTTAGAGGATAATGGATATGAACAACACATAAATACGTAGACTACCTTTGTTGTAATAAAGACATGTTCTCTCTTTATTTTACCAGCTTTAATATATTCATTTATAACTTCTCCAAT